CATCTCACCAGCCCCTGGATCTTTAATTTTAGACAGTTTAGTTTTGAGTACTTTTTATATTCTAGATATCAGTCCTGTTTGAAGGAGTAGCTGGCAAAATTTTCTTCCCATTCTTTTTTTTTTCTTCCCATTCTGTAGGGAGTCTTCACTCTGATTCTTTTGCTGTACAGAAGCTTTTGAGTCTGATATAGTCCCATTTGTTGATTCTTGCCATTATTTCTTGTGCATCTGAGGTTATGTTTAGAAAATCTTACATAGTGGAGGTTGGACTTGAACTACTTGTGTAGCCCAGGCTAGCCTTGAACTCCTGGTGATCTTCCTGCATCAACCTCCCAATGCAGGGATTATAGGTGTGTCACCACACCCAGCTGCAGGACTCTTCCTCACAATACAGTTAGGGAACAGATCTCAAACTAGGACATGTTTCTATCTGTGCTAAAGTCTAAGGTGATGCTCTGCCCCCAGAATGGTACTGGGTAGAGATCTGTTCAGTGAGAACACGGCACCAATGCGGGCTTCCAATCTTTTGCTCCACTCAGGCTGAAACTGACCTCTGACCACAGGAATGGAGTCTGTGTTCTCCAGCTCCTGCCTCTAAACAGGATTCCCCCCACTCGTTCTCTACGCCTGCTATAGTACTCTCTCATGATTCTTTCCCTCATCCACTCTGGGAACTTGGCAGTGTGAAACAGACCAGTGGGTGTTCTGGGACCCAGGTTCAAACCTTCAGCCCCTCTCTACAATGGCATCCCCGCTGGCTCGTGCTCCATGGCTGTAGCTGCGAAGCTTGTACTGAAGTCACTGACCAACTACTGACTGTGGAAAGTTGCCCTAGAAGCACTCTGTGTGCTTTCCTTGCTGGTTCCAACTGCAGGTAGTTCTTTCAGGCCCACTGTAGTTCACCATTTTCCATGAGCAAAAACGTTCATCTGGTCTCAGAGCTGGCTGTACAGCCCTTGACACGATCTGTCCCTCACCTCTCCTTCACTCCATTCACTGAGCAATGCAGAGCTGGCAAGACTGAAACAAATACTCCCTTAACTGGCTAAAAGAATGGGATGGAGTCTGGCTGAAGCACTAGTGGTCTCACACAGGAAGTAGCAACGCGCGGGCAAGAATAGCCTTTGTGTTGGTGCTTGAAACAGAGGCTTGAGCAGGAGCCTGTGAGATTCCAGGGCTAGCCAACACCTCAGTTGAAGCCAGGGAACTGAGAAAGAACTCACCTTCCTGGCAGTAAAGGTGCCAGCTTTACATGCATCAAAACTGTCAGGGATGGGGCCGGGGAGATGGCTCAGTAGGATAAGTGCTTGACTGGCAAACGCAAGGATCTGAGTTCAATCCCCAGTTCCACCAAAA